GAAGGGGCTCAAACGGTTCCTTGCAAAAGCCTGGAGTTTGAGCGCTGGGGTCACAGGTTGTGCTCGGCTCTTTCTGGCCCAGCACTGACAAGATTTTGAAAAGGGGACCAAGGGGTCATTTCAGCATCAGGCGCCGGCCACGTGACAGGACTTGGCCGGGCTTTGGTTTCCCTCGTGCTATGCCTGATCGGGACTTAGCCGTGGTGGCCCCGTGCCGGTTGGCCTGAGGCCTCCGGTGCGCACTGGGGGCGTCACGCAGTGTTTGCAAACACAGTTACGGCTGCAGCTGCTTAGCAGGAGAAGCTGGGCGGCCCCCACGGGAGTGGGGGGGCTACACTGGCCTTCTTGATTGGCAGGAGAGCAGAGACGTCTCCCTGCTGCTCTTCAGCCTGCTCGGGGGAACACAGCACCAGGGAGAGGAGGCTTCCCCGAGAAGAAGGCGGCATCCAGCTTCCCCAGTCCCGAAATGAACTTCCTGCAGACGAGGGGAAGGTCTGCAGTCTTCAGGCCTCCACAGGGAGGAGGCCGGGCAGGCGGGAGGGCAGGCAGACATGGTCTCCTCTTGTCCCAGAAACAGCTGCAAAAGGGACGGAGACGCCAAATCCACGAGGCGTGGACCGGAGGAAGCGCCTGCCGCACTCGGGCACGTAACTTAGCCAGCCTGACGAACGGTGGACTTCCCTGGCCAGGGGACGGAAGAAGGGGCAGGCTGGGAGCTGCAAGGAGCCATTTCGGGGGCTGGCTCAAAGGCTGGCACCCTCGCTCACTGCCTTGCGCGCCACCCTTGACGAGCTGATGTGTGGCAGCTCCAGAAGAACCGGGGTGCGTGTGTGAGGTGCTTATTTGGGCCGCCGAGAGCCTGGAAGCTGAGGTGGGCCACATCCCAGGGGAGAGCCCCTCACCCTGGAGAAAGGCAGAGGCATTCTCCTTCTGAAGACTTGGGAAACGTTCTGAAATCAAGATGGGATTTGCTGATTTTTTGCTGCTTTTTTGAGGAAAGGTATGATGGGTCCCACGGTTTGATCTTGCCTGTCTCTGGCAGCAAAAAAGAGCCAGCCTTTAGCACTTTATTTCCTTTCTAAGGCATCTGCTTTCGTGGACTACACAGCCCCCTCCCCACGTGAGATGCTGTCCTGACGGGGGAGGACCGGTATGCGGGGTTGGGGCGCAGGGAGCCACCTAAAAGAAAGGCAGCTTGTCCCACATCGGAGTTAGTTGTGCAGGGCCACAAGGTGCCCTGGGGCGAACGTGCAGCCCCTCTGGGCTCCACTAAGTCTGGAGACGGCGAGGCCGCCCAACGCAGGAGCGAAGGCCCCGCAGGACCTGGGAGGCCACGTTGGAGGCCGGGGAGGCCTCCTGGGGCTGCCCGCGCCTTTCCTGGCAAGGCAAACCGCATTCTGGAGAACGAGCCGAGGGCTCCGCGTCGAGGGCTGGGGGGGTGCAGGGCTGGTGGGGCCCCACAGGGGGCGGGCGCCTTCCGAGAGGAGGTCTCAGGAAGCGCTCCACTGCACCACGCCGGCTGGGAATGAGGGGAGCCGCAGCCGAACGCAGTGGGAGAGCACCAGATGCGGGACATGCCCTGCTTAACCCAAACAAGTTTTTCATACGGAGGGGAAAAAGAAGTACATATTTTGGTATCTGCCACGGAATGTGGGGGCTTCTTAGTTTTTTCAGAAGCCCTGAAATTTTGGAATTTGGTTTCTTTCCTCATCCTCCTGTTACTATGAAATTTAAAATTGGGTGATGCCACCAATGGGGAGTGCCTGTGCAGAGAGAGGGAGGAGACGGGCCTTGTATTCCCCACTCGCATTGCCCTGGGGGATCAGTTCCTCGGTGGGGGGTCAGGTGGGAAGCTGCAGAAATGGCCTGATGGTCCCTGGGCTCTGCGGTCGATCTGGGAGCCCTTGGCTTAGCAAGAGCTCCTGGGCTTCCCAGCAGACCGAGAGCTGCAAAGACCTGCTGAGCTCCTTGCAGGGAGAAGAGAGGGGCCCGCCCCGCCCATTCCCTACCCAGCTTTCGTTGGGCCTTTAGGCTGGCCGCCCCCGGGGGAAGAGACCATGCACTCGCCAGCCTCCCCCCCCCACTGAAATTTGGTAGAGCCCTTGGCAGGAAGCAGGCTGCTGTTGGCCGCGATTTGTAAAAATGGAAAATAAGCTGGGAAAGGTCAGAGATGGGCGAGGGCTAGCGAGGGTCTAGGAGGTTTTGCCTTAAAATAAAAGGTTTTGCCTTAAAATAAAAACGGGCTCATCTTAAAAGGTGCCACCAGGCTCCTCTTGACTCCAGGCGAGGGCCATAGGGAGCAAAACCCCTTGAGAAGTCCCTAGAGTGCAGGTCTGGGGCCAGGGTTAGGGGTAGGAGGGGCACAGACCAGGCGCCCACCCTAGAGGCCTGTCGCCGGGACCAGAGACCGGCTCTCGGCTATTTATGCCATCGGGCCCAAGCTGGGAGCTCCTCCGGGCTGGTGTCCTCCCCCAGGACCTGGGGCTGGTGGGTTCTGCAAAGCAGCGAGGCCTTCCTTCTTTCTCCACCCTCCGCGGTTCTCTGGCGCAGCAGCTCTGCCGTGGGGTTCTGCTGCCCTTGCGGCTGGGGTCCCATGGCACTAAGGGGGCAAAGGAAAGGCTGAGGACTTGGGGTTCCTCCCCATCTGCTTCGCTCTGTTCCTACCCCCCACCCCACCTCCAGGGAAGCAGGGGAAGGGGCTCGAGCAAGGGACAAACAATTGTGTGTGTGTGTGTGTGTGGGAAGGGAGGCGGAAGCAGCTGCCTCCGGTCAGGGCCTGTCCAGCAAGAATGGAAGACTTTACGCGTCCCCAGAAGCAAGTGCAATGTTGCCTTTTTGTTTCTCCCCAAATCTTTAAAATTCAGAACATCTAAAAGGAACTTTAAAAAGATTCTCTCTTTTTTCACATTCATTCAGTCACTAAAAACTCCCACAAGCATTGCAGGAAGGAGCCACGAGGCCCCTTCCTCCCCCCAGCAAGATAGAGCTTTAGTAAACCATAACAAAACAAGGTGGCTATAGATATAGATATATAGATATTTGTTCTTTTTTCCTTTTCAAATATATAGCTGATTAAAAAGATGCAAAAATGAGTGACTAGGACAGAGTGGGGGTGGGATCCTGCTGTTGGGCATCCTCTCGTTTGGATCACCAAACCTACAGAAATGCAGAGATCAGAGACCCCTTCAATGTGTCCCGCACCCCCAGAGCCAAACGAGACCTCCCCCCTCCCCCGTGAAGGCTGGCAAAGCAGAAGCTGCCGGATCCGCCCGTCGCCT